ATTACTAACTTATTTTTAAATTATAGTTTAATCTTTCTATGACTAATTTAGGATGATGATGCTTATGCTTAGTGTTTTTCTTGTTTTCCTTTGGAGTTGTTCAAGATCTGTACTAGTGTGAGGTCAGCTGATTGGGGTCATTACTGTCGTGTGGGTGCAGAATGACTCACCGAGACAGGTTTACCATATAAAACCGTTTAATAATATACATAAATGGTTCTTACAATAATCCAATTAGTCAGGCGAAAGCCTATCCAACGATGGGTTACTATAACAGTTCCAATAAAAACGGAAAAGTTTGACTGTTCGATCGGTCCTTGGGTGTTTTCAGCACGCTGGATGCAGAGAACGATGGCCCCTGGGCACGCACCACCCCTTGAAGCGATGTCCTTGGTTGACGAGTTGAACCTTGGCGATTCTGAATGTGACCTCGGCGCTTCTGGACGTGACGGGTTGGTGAAACCAGCTTCCAGGGCGTCGAAAGAGCATACGTTGTATCTCTGTCGAGAGCAGTAAGTCCCAGCAGGTGAGCACTATGCACCAAAACCCAAGACCCTGTAAAATTCCTGAAAATGCGGTTTTGTCGATTTTTCCACCACCGTCGCCTCTCCATTGGTCTCCTCGTCACATAGTGACAATTCGAAACCCCACAAAGGGTGCGGGAGAGGTCAACGTTGCGTAGGAACACGACTCCTCTCCAACCTCATTTTCCTCGACTTTATCTATTGTTTAAAATCTTTTAACAAGACAAAAAGTTCATTGTTTAAATCCGATCTTTAAGTTTGCTGTTTTGAGCTACGAAACTTGACTCATTCGAAAAGTTGTTAATGGCCTCCTTTCGGACCCCGTTTGGGTCCTCACACTAGTCCAATCTGTAACTCCAAAAGAATATGTGAGTACTGGATCAAAATATGTGTTTATTGCTATAACTGTGTTCTGAGAATAGTGTTTAACCTTTTTTGGTATTTTTTAATTAATCGTTGCTTTATTTGTGTATGTTCTATTAGTTTGGCCTGTTGGAACCCTAAATACTTGTAGAACTGACCCTCTTCCATGGATTCAATAACATCTCCATTTCCAAGTGCAAAATCTTCTGTTTTCAGGACTCCTTTTTTTCTATTTGAAGTGTTTTGCATTTGTCTAGTCCAAATTCCATTTGTATGTCCTTAGTGTATGTGTGATTTGTAGGAGTTGATGAAGTTGTTTTTGTGTGGGTGCATAAGTTTTATGTTGTCCATGTACATTAGATGCAACAGTGTAAACTGTGTTGTTTTTTCATGTCTGATATTGTAACCATATTGCGTGTTGTTTAACATGTTAGATAATGGGTTCAGAGCTAAGCAGAACCAGAGAGGACTCAAGGAATCTCCTTGAAAAATTCCATGCCTACTGAATATTTGGTTTGTTTGTATGGAAGTGTTATAAATCCTGAGATGTAGTGTTGTTCTCCAGTGCTGCATAGTGTTTTGGAAGAATGCAATGAATTTATCATTATTATTATAATACAGTACAGCGTCGTTTATCCGAATCAATTGTGGACTAGGGTTGTTCAGATAACTTATTTTTTGGATAACCAATTACGTATGAAAAAATATATTAACCTATCCCATGTTGAAATTTTTTTCCATTGCTTTGCGTTGAATTTTTGTTGATGTTAAGCCTAACGTAAACTTTTTAAAATAATAATCATGGCTATTGTATCGTTAAAAATTATTTTTTTATTTTTTACAAACAAAATAAATATATTGAAAAATATAAAAACAAAAAAATTATACTTTAGAATAAAACAAAACATATAAATGTTTTGACACACAAAAAACATATAAATGATGTGTTAAGCAACCTCCCCCCTTTTACCATCGTTTTTCATATTATAGGAAATAATCATACTACCATGTAATAAAAATATTGTCAAATAAGTCTATGATGTACTATTATATAACATGTAAGCATTTTATGTTATCATCACCTCGCATTTTTGTTATGTCCTACTCACCAATGTTGTGACTCACCTTATATTTTTTGTAATTTTAACAGCACTGAAGAGGGGTTGGGAATACAAGCCAACCCGAAATGCATCTGAATTAGAAATATTTTAAATCAAACATAACGTTTTCTAACCAATTGCTGTTCGATTGTCTACCAAAATTATTGTTTGGATTACAAAGACGCTACACACAGAATATACTTTAGAAGTTAATATAGTATCAAAAATGTTCGATTCAGCATGACACACAGTCCTCAGAAAAACATCACACAAAAGAGCCAGTGCTGCCAGCTAAAACACATACACAAACAAAAAAATATTGGATTAGTCCAAGACTTAGCCAAAGATTGCAACGCCACAACACTAGCAAAAATTTAAATTTGCTGACTGGAATGCTTTTGGATAACCAGCTTTTGGATAAACGACGCTCTACTGTATATTCAGTTAACAATATTTGTATATATAATAAACTTCCTGAAACTCAATGCATTGATACTAAACCAAATAATCGCCATAGCTCAATTAATTACTGTAATCGTTTGGTTTAGTAAAATCATTTTATAAACAAAATGGGAATGAATTAAGAGAAAAAATTTTACTAATTGGTTCCCATTTTGTATTTAAAAAATGCTGGAACCAAGTGAAACTGTTAAAAAGAGTTTTTCACACTCATAAACTAAGAACACTAGAGACTTATAAATATTCCTTGCTTTGAGGGCAGTTCAATGTATTAATTATAAAGAAAAAGAAACATTATTGAAGGTGCTGCAGTCAGTGGTAGACCACCCAATACAGCGATCAGACGACATACACTATACATAGTAAACATTGAGTAAATCAAGCTTACAACAAGTTGTCTTAAACGTATCTTTTCTTGGTCTTTTATTTTTATAGTTTTAATCTTTTTTGTTGATATTTGATTTTAGTTTTGCAGTTTTATTGTAATTTATTTAGATATATTGAATTCTTTGACAATGTATTTATCACTACAGTATGTCATATTATGTAATATTTTATACATATATGTTATGTTTAATATCAGGTTGAGATATGCAGCCATTTGCATTCCAAATCTTATTTCAATTTGTTTTTTAAAAATTGTTAGAATGTCAATTAGAATGTAAAGTTTGAATCTTTTTGTTAAATCTGACATAGACGTACAATAAGAAGTCAAAATGTTCATTTAAATAAATTAAAGTCTTGCTGAAAAGAGGATTTAAGATGTTCAAGCTATCAATAAGTGTTTGGTGGTGCTGGGTGTGTGGCATTCAGGGTTATATGAAAGTTTTATTTTTATTCCAGCAGTGTTTTGCAGCATGTTTGCTAGTTTGGGTTACATGTTGCCATGAATTATCTGCATGAAATTATGTTAATAAAAAGAAATGAAAAAAATTATAGTAAATGTAAATAATAGAAAAATAAAATTTTTCATATAAGTAAAATTTCAACATTTAATTAGAATTATATCTGAAAAAAGCATTTATCTCTTGATAATACTAAAGGCCAAAATTACTGATTTGACTTTTATGACTTACACCAAATGTAGATTGGTAAAATTTATATTTTTCAGGTAAAATTTGTTTTCTAAATTTATTATATAATTTAAAGCTGTTGCACTCACTTTATTTTTTAAACTTATTGATTTAATAAAATAAAATTCGACTTACATAAGCCTGTAACCGATGTGATACGGCAAAAAATTCTAACACACAAACGTTTTCTGAACACCTTCCGTGTTCTTCCTCAGGTATTCAAACTGGATTTTTTCATATTCTGGAACACTGTTATAAAATTTTTAAAATAAATTTAAAATAAAACGACCGATGATAGTTCGAATGCGCAATGTCCATTGCGCACGCGTTGTACACATCGTGTTCTCCGTTGTTCGGCTTCCCATTAAATCTTCTAATCCTCATTTAATTTTTGTTCTCGTTCTTCATCCGATGCAATATTCTAACATTTAACGTCACGTGTCCGCCGCATCATCAGATATTAGATCCATCTTTACGAGTCACTATGTAGAACGGCTTGCCAAGCGACCGAAAGAGCCATCTCCTCCCGTGAATTAATGCACTCAGATGTAGTGTGCGCCTTATATATCTCTACCGTCTCTAACCATTTGAGGTGGTCCCTCTGTGTTGTTTTAACTATTAATTTTGCCCCTGTGAAGTCAACCGTAATATCAGGGTCAGAAGCATAAACCGAGAGTGACGTGGTGGCTCTGTTATGTCGTATGTCTGCTTTGTGTTCGCTTATTCTCACGCCCATCGAGCGTTTCGTAGACCCTATATAGACTAAATCCCTACCGAATCTATCATCACGAACAGGGATCCGATATATGCCCGGCGATTTGATCGGGTCAGGCGGGTCCTTTCCATTGCGTAGTATGTCAAAGATAGTTGGGCCCCTCTTGTAAGCAATGTTGACATTACGTCTTTTGGCAACCGCTGTATATACCGATTCCAAGATATGGTTGAACGTAAGTGAGATCCTTTCCATATCAATGCTGTGGTTGTCTCTCAATGTCGTCATATAAAAATTAAATGAGGATTAGAAGATTTAATGGGAAGCCGAACAACGGGGAACACGATGTGTACAACGCGTGCGCAATGGACATCGCGCATTCGAACTGTCATCGGTCGTTTTATTTTAAACTTATTTAAAAAATTTTATAACAGTGTTCCAGAATATGAAAAAATCCAGTTTGAATACCTGAGGAAGAATACGGAAGGTGTTCAGAAAATGTTTCTGCGTTAGAATGTTTTGCCGTTTCACATCGGTTACAGGCTTATGTAAGTCGAATTTTATTTTATTATATCACCCGGTGTGCCTGTTGGAGTTTTATACTTATTGATTTATTTATACTAAATAATAATTTAATTGTATTTAAATATAATTGCTGTGAAAATAATTATAAAATATGTGTATTCTTTTAATTGTTTACCTGTGTCTACTATTTCTTTTAAGCTGAAATCTTCTTACACTAACTATTGTAACTCACCTCTATTTCCAGAAATATGCTCATGCAGCCTTTGTGTCCAACGACACTTTCTTCAGTGCTCTAGAAGTCTTCCTTGCCAGAGTCTTGATACTTTTGACTATACTAATTATGAAAGTTATGCTAACACTAGTGCACAAAGCATGCTAACAAATAGTTTTCCTTTATTAAATACTAAATCTGATTATGTAAGCAAATGTTTTGCCAGAACTACATTATCAAAATCCTTTCCTGTTCCTCCTTGTAGAAGTTCTTCTCTGTGGATTCCTTCGTTAAAAACTTCATCAAACAAAGTGCCTTTTTATGGATACGATAAAATCAAACTTGATTCAAAAAATAATTACTCTAATTTTACTATTAAAAAAATAGATTATATTCCATATTCGTTTACTGACAATTTTTCAAACAATAATAATTATTTTAAAAATTCTACGCCGCTATTTGATGAATTTAAGTTTACATCTAAATCGAGCTGTAAGAAGAAATTAATCAATTCTATGAATTGTTCTAAAACTCATATTGATGACATTTTATCAAAAAATTCTAAGCTTGAACAAACATCACTTCATGATGATCAGAGCAATTCTTCTGCTTTTGAAAATTCTACTAGAACATTTAAAATGGATTCTTTAAATATTGAAATGCATAATAATTCAGAAATGCCTTTTTATAATTGTAAAATTACAAAAAATCACAAAAATGATTATACAGTAGATTTGGATTCTAAATATTTAAATTCAAATTTAATAGAAAAATTTATAATACCTAATTATTGTAATATAATTTCTCAAAAGAGAACAAGAGAAAGAAAATACTTATGCATGGCAAAGCAAAGAAATACTAATTTGAGAATATTTTTAAGAAATGTCCATGAAATTATTCACTTGTCAGATGAAAATTGCAAGGGAGCATTTCATCATTCCTCCTGTTTAAGCTATCATCAGTATATCACTAATGTTATTGAATCAGTTAAGAGGTCTCAAAAATTTTTAAGATTGAAAAACTATTATTGTAGTTTAGAAAAAATAATGACATTGGAAAATGAAAGGAAGCAAGAAAGATCTTTGACGACACCCATTAATCTTTCTTATTTGTATGCAAATTTAAAAGGAGCCCAAGAAAGAGGAGAATTTTTTGTTAAATTAAAAAATGAGAATAATTGGGGAAAAAATATTGCAAAGGAATTAAAAATGAAGATACATTCTGTTGATGATTTAAGAGAAACTTTTGAAAATAAAGAGCTGAAATTGAAACAAACTCTTCCCTTTGTTTGTCATAAAAAGTTAAATAGGTTTCAATATAGTTTATCGGTATCAGATTTAATATATAAATATGATAATCTTAAATATAAGTTTGAATGCAAAAAATTAGAAAAGTGTTATTTTCCTTCTGCATCAGACTTTAGAGAGAAAGTTAATTCTTTTGGACCTAGCTTTTATACTTCAAGTACAAATGAAAATGTGAAAATTCAAGATCATATAATAGATCAAATGTCAAATGATGCAGGCACTTACATTTCTTACCATCATATAGATGATTTGTATACTTCTTTGAGAAATTTTAAAGTAGCAAATGGATGTCCAAGGATTGAAAATATGTCTAGATGCTTAAATACATCATCTGATATGGTTTGTGATAATGTAAATTCCTCATTTGAATGCAAAGATATTTCGGAGAAGTTATTTAGAGATGAAAATTGTAAAAAATCTTGTATGTACAACAATTCTAAGCAAAGTCTAAATACAACATTAGTTCCCATTTCATCAGAAAAACGTTCTTTCACATTAAGGAAAAGTCCTTCAAAGCACTTTATTTCTGAAGAAGTACGAACAAATTCTACAGACAAAAATAATCAATTCTTGAGTGTGTTAAATAAACTTAAAAAAAATGTTTTAATTTGTGGTAGTGTGAAAGATAAAATACAGCATTTTGAAAAAATAGCAAAAAACAAATATATATTTTTTGGTCAAAATCAATGTTTTAAACAGAGATTAATGCAATCAAAATTATATCAAAATAAATCGTCTCCTGAAATCTTGTCAGCAAGCACTTCAAATTATCTTCTAATGCAGTGTCAACCAGAAAAGAATATTATATATTCAGATAGTTTAATATGTAAAAATAACAATATTCAAATAACAACTGGTAATGATAGTTATTTGATGAATAAAAATTTTCAAAATAAGTTTAAAGGTAAAAACAGCCACAAACAATTAAGTAAAGTACCTCGGAAAATTCTTTCGTGTTGCGATATTAGAGATTATTTATCGTCGTCGAAAAGATATTTTGCAGTTCATAGTTTTTTTCGACCAGACTACATTCCAGAACGAACTGTCTCTTCAATTGATTTACGACATGCATCAGAAATGGAATCATTTCAAACAATGTCTGAAAAATCAAGTTATAATGATAGCTGTCCTGAAAAGAATTTAGTTAATAATTCAGAATACAAATTATTAAATAAAATTATTTTTCCAATTATCAAGAAAAAAGACAAAACTCATCTTGAAAAAAATCCAAAATTGTTTACTGGAAATGTACAACAAATCAGGTTATTATTTGAAGACAGAAATAGTTGTAGTCTTCCAAATAAAATAAATCAGATTTTTTATAAAAATGATTATGTTGCTTATAGCAGTTATATGAAACGAAAAGTTTCTACAGGATCTGTAAAATTACTCTCTCGTAAATTTGAGTGTTTGGATAAGATAAATATTGAGAGATCTCAAGAAAACCTATTTGAAAACATTCATTTATCTAATAACAGGATATTTAAAAATAATTTTGATTTAATAAATTCAAAAACAAACAGTTCTTGTCAAAACAATTCACATTATTCATCTCAAGTGACTGCTGAAGGAAGACAGGAAAAAAATAAAAAAATTACAAAACGACAAATAAAAAATTCTTATAATTTTTATAAAAAAGTATTTCCATTAAGTTACACTAAATATTTAATAAATAAGGCTGAAAGACGAAAAGCTTTACAAAATATAATTAAAAAGTTTGAAATTTTACATAAAAAAAATAGTGCGTCCAACATGTTTTTACATGGAAATCATGCACCAATTAAAAAAAGTATATCTATGTGGATTTGTAGAGATTCAAATGATTTAAATGAAATTAAATACTTGAAAGAATGTGGAATGCATTATAAAACAGAACTGTTCAGGGGTAGAGGCAAATTGTCACGGTTGAAAAAACAACTTCGTTCCACGTGGATGAAGTCTTCTGATAATGTTTCGATTCTTCTTCCCCGACTTATTGGCACTCCTGTCGGTATACCTTTCTCTGCGAGCACTACTTGTTCAAATTCTTCTTTAACTTGTATGGAATTTCTTACTGGGCAGTATTCGAAATGTGATAAAAGCTCTGGCAGGGTAAATGGAGAAGAAATGATTTCTTCAAGAAATGAAAATTTTCTCATCCATTATAACTCCATTGTAGATGAGTTTACAAGTTTCAGATCCAAAGAACACAAGAATGCATGCAGTTCAGGTTAAATATATATATTATGTATTTTGCAATTATTTTAATATTTTTATTCTTTCTGAAGTTAAATTTCATATTAAATTTGTTTTTATTATAATAATTTTAATATTTTAGAGTTTCATACTTTGTAAATGACTATTAAAACACTTATTGAATTGTGTATATTTAAAAATTTTTGTTTTATTGAAGTTCTTTGTGTATCTTAATTTTTTAACTTTGTTTCAAACAATCCAAACAAAAATTATTTGGACAAACTAAATTATGTCCATAATCTATCAAAATGTGAGAATTTATTATATTAGCTTAATGTTCCTGAATTAATGTTGTCAATTATAAATAGCTATATTCACTAATTGTGATATTGCTGTTTGGAACTAATTGTAAGAGGACTAAGATGGTTACTATTTCAGAAGTACAGTAGAGCATCGATTATCCAGATACTGATCAACCGAAATATCAGTTAACCAAAAGCATTTCACTCAGAAAAATCAAATTTCCACTAGTGCTGTGGCACTGAAGCACTCTCCCCTTTCCTACCAACCTATACTGTAGGCCTACTTTAATGTACTACTTTGTATAAGGTATGTATTTGTAATTTATGTGATATAGAATATACAGTACAGTTTTGTTTTAATATATTTTTTTGTAAATGATCAGTTATTCGAACAACTCCAGTCCCGAATTGTTTCGGATAATAAATACTCTACTGTATTTCATTACCAATCAGATATGCATTTCGTGTTCAGTTTCTCATCAGTCTGATCTATTTAATATTAGAACCAGGGGCAAATCCTGACCAAAATTTTTTGGCATGTTGAAAGTTATAATAAGAATAATAGGCCTATCTCTAGAAATAAACAATAGGCAGAAACGTTATTTGGTGTGAATAAAAAGATATAGATTATTATAAAGCCCATTATATCTACAGATGAAATATATTATAGTGAAACAAGTATTAAAAATTTATGATGATAATTCAATTTTTATGGGCCCTTGACACTGGGGTCCCAGAACTTTAGCCCTATTAATTCCTGTGTAGATCTGCCCCTGTACACAATACATGTATGCTCACTGGGTACTACAAGCTTTTACTACAATCTTGCCGTGTTAAATGCTTAGAATGACATCATGCACATGCACTTGTTTGCTGCAGAAAACCTCCATGAGCAAGCAATCAAGTTTCCACAAGCATTGCACTGACTGAAAATGGCTAGCCGCTAGCTGCCAGTGTTAAAGGAAACACAAATGATAAATGAGTTTACATGTTAGAATAAATTATTATTGACATATTTGTTCTCATATAAAAAATATATTGATGGTCAAAACTTTTTCTTAAGCATGCAGCGCATGCTAAGCAAACCCAGAGAATTTGCCCCTGACTAGAACATACGAGTATTTAAGAATACAGTATTTAACTCATATGTTCTGCTATTCAAATAGGTCAGACTGATGAGGGGCTATGCCCAAAATGCATAACTTACCCAAGATTAGTAATAAAATATTCCTGAAACAGTAACTGTCTTATTCCTTGTATGATTAATTAAATACAGCAAACTCATAATTAGTGAATACAGCTATCCATCTGTGAGAATTTATGGATATTTTCTGTTAACAAAAAGACGGTTGTAACTTTAATCTGATGTGCAATACAGTTGTCTGCATTGTTCCACTAACACTATTGCATTTAACTATTTAGCCCACACAACTGTGTTGCTTTGAGTAGCCCACTTGACTGTTAATGGAGTTCTTGATGTTATATAGTTTTAGGGGGTGTGCCATCTGGGTACTTTGCCCCATCTGGGTACTTTGATATGAGCAATAGCAAGCACCGAAGTGCATAATTACATGCAAAGCATGTTGAATAGACAGTGTACTGTTACATGCTAAAAACTGATGTTTGGAGGCGAATATTTCACAAAGAGTCAACATTCTGGAAATGGTGCAAAATCCCTCATATAAAGCTTGAATCTTACCATATCAACTGGTGTCCCATTAACAGAAAAGTACTGAATTTACTTATATATAGTGATACAGTCTTCCTATTTTATAATAATTTATACTTTTTCTAAATCATAATAAACATGGATATTCATATTTTACACAAATAATTAAGAAAAATATATACACCCACAGCTGCCATAAATGATTGGGCTAAATTTGGATATAATGATTATAAATTTGAAATGAATTTGGCACTCGAGTGAGGGGTTAGGCACCATCTCATATTAAAATTAATAATAATAATATTTAATTAATTAATTTAGATTAAACTGGAAGAAAAGAATCAGCCCAAAGTGGGGCTCAAACCCGCAACTCCCACTTACCGTGCAGATGCGTTGCCAGTTAGGCTACCCAGACCTTCACTCCGATCTCCTCTTCTAGTATATATAAGTTTAAGATATAACCATCAATTAATAATTAACCAGTTGTTAATTATTAATTTTAATACAAAATGGTGCCTAACCCCTCACTTGAGTGCCAAATTCATTTCTAATTTATGATCATTATATCCAAATTTAGCCTGATCATTCACGGCAGTTATGGGTGTATATTTGCTTAATATATCGGGTTTTGGTTGTGTATATTTGTATAAGAAAAATATAATGAAATTATAGTTATAATTGTATTATATTTATTACCCTTTCCCAATTTTCCAGAAAAGCTGAAATCTCTCATCAAACTTTAATTTTAAATTTCTTCAATTGTTTTGAGAAAAAACAAAATAAACTGAAATTAACAAATTTTTATTATTTATATATATCCAAGCCCACTTTGTGATCTCGTAATCTGGCTTTGCATTGATGTGTATGTGGAACCAATATATGTTAGTGTCCTGTTGAACCTATCATCCTGTAGTGGGATCTGGTAAACTCCTGGTGCTTTTGCATCTTCATTGCTGTCTTTTGTGTTTAGGTGTGATTCTCTGTATGTATGGTTCCAGTTTACTTGTAGTGTTGTTATTTTTTGAAATATTATAAATTACTGAAAACATATTCTTGTTAAATACCACAAATAGGAAAAAAAGAAGAAATTGAAAATCAACTATTATAATCTTATAATATAATCAAGATGGGTTAATAATAATAATGTTGTGTATAATTGTTTTTTTTTTCTTTATCAACAACCACCTTATCCCACAAACAACACTAGAACATATCAAACAACAGGTTGCTGATCAAATATATCAACAGACAGAAACATTTAACATTATTAATGAAGGTCACGTAACCTGTCAGGATAATCCAGCAACAATCATTGATAATAGTACACATACAACAACTACCATTAATGATATTACAGACACTTCCTTATCCACCACTGATAACATAGACATAGATTTAGTTAACATGCTCTCACTTATACTTCAGGAAACACTCACTAAATATACAGGTACAGATCCCACACAAAGACCACAAATACAAAAAGTCAACACATCAAAGGAAGTACGGAAAACACTAAATTTGTAAAGTACTATTTTTAACTTATCGCTGTACAACGATTTTCGTTCCGGAAAGAGCCAGTACCTAACGGATACTTTACGCGGGTTCGCGTTTGTTAGTTTGCCAGGCCTGGACTTTTCGCGTGCACTGAAGTAAATTAAAGACAAGTTAGTCAAAGATCAATAAAAGTATTTAATAACGATCTAGGAATAACTATTTACAATATTTATAACAAACAACAAATTCATTCAATCAAATCAAATCCAAAGTCAACCCGACAAAACTCAATTTTATTCTAACTTAGAACTATTCCCCTTGGAATTCCGACAAAAATCAATCCTTAACTTAGGTACAGAATTTCTTATAACTACAAATGCTAACCGTCACCTCAATTATACTAGGAACCTTTTTCCAACTCAAGTTTTTTCTTATTCCTTGATCCACAAATCGAAAACTGCAATCGCCTTGGACTATTTCCTATTGGACACCTCGTTCACTGCTACTAGCAGACCAACGCTTATTCCTTTCAGGAGCTCACCTCTGCCGTCTTCACTTGAGCTACGCTATTTATAGTCTGAGGTGACGTTACAGTTTCTAAGTGAGACACTCCCCTCATTTACATACTTACACGTAACATTCACTTTTTTCTTGTTTATCTGGTAGCCTATATCCCGACAATACTTTGTTAACCTTTTACATTCTTTTCTTGAACAATGATCGGGATGTTTCCTTTAAGGTTTAACAAGTTCCTAAAAGTCTGTGGGGTCTGTCCCCCCCTTTCAGTGCGGACTTACTATCTGCCGCTCGGGCGTGCACGTGAGTGCGAGTGTGAGCTATGGCGCTTTCGTCGGTAAGTTGGTTTTATCTTCTCTTTTTAACTTTCTAAGGTGACGGGTGAGGAAACCTTCGTCCTAACTAAACATAAGCCCCAAACAAAAATATAATAAAAGCAAAATAAAAGTAAATAAAAATAATGCTCGGACTTGGTTCCTTACAAATTATATAAACACTCACTTACTATCACACTAGATTCATTCAATTCCTACATTCACAGACATTCATATATTAGTTTATGCTGGAGCAGTCACAGTAGTGACACACCCTGGATTGAAAATACACTCACAGACAGACAGACACAAAACACAATTCTATCACAAGCCTGCCTGGCAGAGAAGGATAGAAACACAAATAAATGACATTAGACAGCAATTAGGCAGGCTGACACAATAAACTAAAAACAACATAACACCCAAATTAAAGAAACAACTCAAAATCATTTTCAAGAAAATCAAAACACACATAAAACATGAACATCACAATACACACATTACAGAATACATTGATACACTAACAAGGAGACCCTACAGCTTTAGAGAAATGGATTTTGATGATCTTTCATGTAGAGGTAGTAAACCATGTGAGTAAACCTGTAAAATATTAAACTGAACACTCAAATATGATCGAGAAAAACAAACTTAAAGTTTTCTTTAGCACTTTATATATAAGTTATACATACATCTGCTTGAGCATGCTTGGTGTGGGTGGTAACACTCCTGACTTGTATGC